AGGGCAGCATATATAATAAGTCTCCCTTTACAAGACAGGATATTTGGTCACTGATGAAGGCGTGAAAAGTAAATCAGCTTTTGTAAAGCAGGGATGGAAAAGCTTTATTGATTCTCGACCACTTGTAATGAAACCAAAACATGCGGTATTCTAGGAAAACATTATCGTTATATTGTTATTGAGTCCACCCAATGATACTATACTATACAGGGCCGTAGTTTTGTCAAACAAGTTTTTAATATGTCGAACTCTACTATAATATTATTATGCTTGTTCCTGACAGCAAAGAACTCTTGTTATATACAAACAAAATGTAACATTTCTTGGTTAAAAATATATCTGTAAGACGGCGTATTGAGATGCTATCTTATATCCTTATAATGACTGTGCTAAAATCTTTTGTGTGTCACAAATGATTGACCACAAATCGGTATCGATAGTGTGGTCTACATTAAAAATAAAGCAGATACACGTATATGAATAAAGTATATATACGTATATGAAAAAAAGCAGTATCCTTATCCTTCACCAAAATTGTGAATATATACAGCGGTGGCCTTTTTGTATTCCAACTATGGATCTACGGAGTAATTAAAGCTACCAAGGAAGAGAAAGCGCCGTCAAACGAAGTTATTCAGACATTCAACCACACGTCCCAGATCTGGGGCAACACAAAAAGGGGTAATAATAATCTTCCAAACTTTTTTGTCTCAATCTTGAGATACGTATACTCGGGGAGCAAGGTCGGCTGTGGTTGGCTTCAGTTCAGAAAGTTCGGATTCGGCTGCGCCAGGTATTGTTTCAAAATGTTTAAAACATTCGGGCGTGGACGGAAGGTTCGGGCATTATTCGGCTGGTGGTTGGCTGGTGGTAGGGAGTAGTTCCGCAGTGGTCGGCCCACTGCACAAAAACTTAGATTTACCGGGCCAGTATAGTTGGGTAATGTTTACTTTGTTTTTTAATAAACACTTCTGAACTTTACAATGGCTGTAAATAAAGTGAGTCGAGTACCATAATACCGGACTTTTAAGCGTTGTAAAGGATTTACTGCAATTTACCTTTATTTACTACGACTGTAAAGCCAGATACTGCGTACATAGTAAACATTACCTGAGTTTACAACCTTTGGTAAATCCAACTTTTCGTGAAGTGGTTGGCACTCAAATTTGATTCAAACTCGATTCGCGTGGCCTAACTATATTCAGACTGCTACAGAACTTACTTAAGCCAGTCTAAAGTCTGAACGTGTTACGGGGGCTTTACTTCTGTTCGCAACAATTTGACCTGTAATGTTGACATTTTAGTATCTGCCGTGCACGTGCGGCACTATACATGAGTACTTTTTTCATTCATTATCTCTCTACTATCTGCTTAGAAGTTGATTTCTTTCAGACGTGAATTTAGTAGATTTGAGAGAATTTGTATAGGTGACACACTACCACCCTATCGACCTCATAAAACCGCCCGTTACTGCCCCAACAACCGTGCTGGCCGCACTTCTTATCCAGCCCCAGCAGGTCTTGACGGCGTCGCGCGCCTTCAGTCTCCATCCTCTGTTTGTCACCACATGGGCTGGGCGATCTTGTGAAGTCAGGTGAACCACAAACTGGTTGGTTCTGTCGCCGGAGTAGAAAACTACCTCCATATCTTGGGTGTGGTGGGTGCCGAGTACAATCAGCTCGGCGTTCCTCCAAACCCAGTTGGACTCATTGATGACCAGTGTCAGAGCTCCTTGAAGCAGCTGACGGTTTTTTTTCTGACAGACAGCCCCTGTTGGTGCGGATGAAGTCTGCGATGTCGGAGTGACTGATGTATGAAGAACAGTAAACATCCTGGGGAAAGTCATAGACATGCAGCAATGTTGTTAAAACGTACTATTTTATGTAGGTATTTTTATAAATGCTTTGATGTTTGCTCGCACATCATTTCTTTATATTAACACCCCCAAATGCATAGTTTTGTCCAAGCTTGTAACTGTAATTTACCTCATATAATGGCGACAGTGGGTCTTCTCCCCAGGGTGCCGTGAACACAGTTGGTCTTGGTGGAGGAATGCCATGGCGGGAATAGCCCATTTGTTGACACAGCGGCCGGTAACTCAACCTGCAGCTACCATCGCAGTTATATGAGCAACAGGTTCGGCAAAAACCTTCGGACATGCTGGTCTGGTGATGTAAACGCCGTGTCAGCCACCAATTTTGTTGGGGAAATGGTGAACTCAGGCTTAACTCCACCGAACTCAGGTACAATGACGAACCTGGAATTCCCCGACACGTAAAGGTGAGGTGAGGGTAAAATATTGCACTAAGTAAGGACAAGAAATAAGATAAGTCACAAGCCAGAAAGCGTTTGCAATTAAGCGAAGATATTGATTCTTTTAACTCATAAAATACAGATAAACTCTTACCAAAATCTGCCCACAGCGGTCGCACCGCACCCGTCACAGCCAATGCTACAGTACTGACTGAAAAGGCTTATTAGAAGTTACCTGCGTCAACAGGTTCTGCTTTTTTGTCTCCCAAAGAAGCGGAAATTAACTTCGTCTAACACTTAGTCACACCGTACAGTCTCCTCCAATCAGAAATCAGACAGGGAGCTGTAAACACCACGTGATGGAAAGTCCCTGAGTGTGGACGTTTCCCCCCCAACTATTTTTAGACAACCGCTCAAGCGTATCATACTGTACGTGAGCGTCGTCAGTAATATTGATGCTCATTCTAACCACACGGCCGCCATGGGTAACCTGATGGTATCTTCGGGACAGAAGAACATCGTGCACAACAATCAGGTGTGTTTTTACCCCTCCCCCTCCCATAACTGTCAGTCACAGTACGTGTGTAGCACTTTCATTTTCGCCAACAACACCGCCTTTATACTGAGTCATTATCCCAACACACAGGTGTATTGAGGCGCGAGGGTGGGCTAGCGCTGCCAAGTACGTAAGACTAGCTGGCAGTCACCGTGCTATATTGATACTGTTTCTGCAAGCATCTTAATTTCTTTTCTATCGTCGTCGTCTGTGGTAGATCAGCGTCGACAAAATTGCACCATAGTCATTTGGCATAGGTGAAATGTATCGTATTTCAGGTCACTCGCTGTGCGTATAAAAGTCGGTAAGTCCAAGAGTCAAATGTTTAATGACAGTTTCTTACAACCAGAAATCCTTCCCCAGTCAGGAGTACTGCAAACACATGCATAATATGTAAATTCCCCAACGTCCGTAAGTGACGGGAAGCTCCTGACTTATTTTCAGCTGACTGCTGGTCGTTCGTAACTCGCATGAGCGCTAAGCCAAATTTATTACTTAAGTGTATCCTCGGGCTTTGCACAACAATGAGGTAAGTGTTTGCTCGCTTCGTGGCTTCTGAGTTCTGTTGTGCCGTTTGCCCGCCTCACTTACTGACCGGATTGCTGGTCACGGCGTTCTTAGCTCGTTTGAGCACTAAGCCAGGACACTCAACTGGGTAATCTAATGGTGTCCTTGGGAACGTTGTGCGCAATAAATATATTCTGTCATGTTGTCACAGGTCGAAGTTCAGGAGATCAACAAGGTGGTTCTGGGGAAGCTTATCGTGAAGCATGTCGGGAATGAGGGTACGGAGGACACAGCACGACAGGCGGTGCTGAGGCAGATGTTACAGAGGGTCATCACCGAACTGGAGAGGGAAAAACCCGAGGTTAAGTGTTATGTTTGATCTGCCGTCATCTTTTCTTCCTGTGTACGTGCATGTACATCGTACACTTTGGTCAGTATGAGACATCATCTGTATAACGGAATACCAAGGTTCAGGTTTTTCCCTCACAAGGAGTGTCAGTAACTAATCAAACTATTGATTTCGTTTATTTTTTGGGGCCCACAACAGTACTTCAAATATAAACTACAAGGGCGGGGGTTCCTTTCATTATAAATCTAGTGTTTAACCGGTTTTTACAATAGTTCACCCATGTTGAAGAGGGCAAAAAGACTGGTTAAATGCTCTCACGCGCTGTGGATGCATTTTATAACGATGGAAAGTTTCACTCTGCTATAGGACAGTGTGTCTAAGGAATGTGTCTAAGGAATGTGTCTTAGGAATGTGTCTAAGGAATGCGTCTAAGGAGTGTGTCTTAGGAATGTGTCTAAGGAATGCGTCTAAGGAATGTGTCTAAGAAATGTGTCTAAGGAATGTGTCTACGGAATGTGTCTAAGGAATGTGTCTAAGGAATGTGTCTAAGAAATGTGTCTAAAAATGTGTCTTAGGAATGTGACTAAGGCATGTGTCTAATATAAAGACTGTGTCTAAGGAATGTGTCTAAGGAATGTGTCTAAGGTTCCCCCATCTCTATATCCCAGGTGTGGCGTAACGCCGAGCTGGTGATCTATGACATGTACGGGAACGACTACACGGTCCGGGCGGGGAAGGCCGAGAACAAGTTCGTGGTTCACCTGGACGGACAGGACGAGATCCGGCTCAAGTGTACGGACAGGAGCAGCTTCTTCAGGTGGCCCTGGGAGGGCAGCAGCAGCAAACCGAAGCCCATAGAGGCAGCGCCTAAACATTGACTTAGATTAAAGCAAACAGATGTCTAAAGAAGCGACACCTTTTATAAACACTGACTCACAGGACAGCAAACTTTAAACCCATAGAAGTTGCACCTTGTAAACATTGACATAGGACAGTGAACCTAAGCCTATGGAAGCAGCACGTAACGTTGATACGCAAGAGAGCAAACCTATAGAAGCAGCACCTTCTAAATATTGACTTACATAAAAGCACACCTAAGCTTAAGCCTATGGAGGCAGCACCTTCTCAACATTGACGCTTTAAATTTAAATACCTTGGATAAGGAAAAAGCAAATAAAACTTGTGAAATATAGGAAGGTGTATGAAGTCCTTAATATGTTTCAATAGCTTATGGTTCTTAGATTGACCCAATCACACGGTTTTTCACATTTGACTGATTATTTATTTTCCTGTGTCAGTAGTCACCATTTCAATATTCACTATTAGTTAATTACATTTGCAAAAACAAAATGAAACACGGTGTTGTAACACAGCAAAGGATGCACATGTGTCAGATCAAATGCGAAGTCTGCAGGTAGCTATATGTACATGTAGCTCTGAATACAGCAGCACTTTCTACAGTTCTTGTTGCAGTCGGGTGAGCGACTCAAACCTGGGTTCGATTCTAAAACTTTTGGTCTATTGACATACATAGTCATGATCACTAACGTAATCTTGGCACACACTACACTACACACTGAGTTATAGCTCTGCAGTACCGTTTACTCTCCTCAGACGACACTCGACATTATCTTTAAGGCAAACAGCAAATGCGGCTTCTCCCTAGCGTTAATTACGAACGCTGCAGTGTGGAGGAGGAGCGAGGGCTAATGGTGGCTACCACCATCCTATTGCTTTGCTAACACCACCAAACAAACCACTTGTTATACTGGCCAAGCCGCTACCAACGGCTGTCCCAGCCGCCGCCCTAAATGCACCTCCAACCGCATCTTTAGTCGAATCCCAGGCGCTCTGGGCGGCGTCGCGCGCCGTAAGACCCCACCCCTTTTCTTCCACTTGATGGATTGGGCGACCTCCCGAGTCAAGTCGCACCACATATTTGTTGGTTCTTTCACCAGAATAGAAAACTACCGTCATATGCTTTCCGTACACAGTGATCTGTGCGTGGTCCCGAACCCACTTGGACTCGTTTACAACAAGTGTCATGGCTTCCTGTAGAAGTTTACGGTCTGTGTCTGTAAGGCGCTCCCGTTGGTCACGAAGGAAGTCTGCGATGTATTTGTGACTTATACATGAATAGCAGTTTACGTCCTGCAGAAAGAAATGTGTTCATCAGAATATAATGGCAGCTTAACATGAATTAGAGCCTTACCTTGTTTACAATACGAAAACCACACGTTTTGGAATAACCATACGATAGCAACATTTACCTTCTCCCAGGGCACCAACCTGATGTTAGCCCTCCTTTCGGCCTTCGATTCGCAGCCTTCGATTGAGCCTTCGATTCGGCATGGTAGGCATTATTTCGTAGAAGTCTTGGGCGCGAGAGCATTCTATTGTCCCATATATGCAAATGAGCACGCATACAGTATGTGAATAGACATTTCACGTACGCATGTCAAACCAAACCACAACCTTTCAAACTCTATATTCATTTGATTGAAAATTCCTCTAATTTTAAACAACCAAACGAGTTTTTATAATCTTTAAGTGGTCAATACTATCGAACTGAATTAATTAAATAAACGCACATGGATTCATCTTGAACCGCACCCGACATGTTTCAATCAGACGCCTTCTTGCAAAATAATGAAATAATTTCCAGTATTCAAATGGATTTTAACAATCTGTTAGAGTTCCATACCACCAAATAAAACTGGTTTAACTAACGCACATTGCGTCGTTTTGACGTCATGACGTCATAGATTAAACTGTACAGATTTTCGAGGATCACAACACTAGTGGATGCATAGACATTGAACGCCATCTAGCTAATTAAGGAAATACTTTTTAGTTCTTAAACCAATTCTAACAATATTTTAGAGGTCCATGTCATCAAGTAAAACTGTGAAGACTAACGTACATTGCGTCGTTTTGACGTCATGACGTCATAGATCCAACACTCGATATTCAATATTCAAGTCAATATTCAACTACTCGTAGCTAATTAACAAAATAATTTGAAGTTTTCAAATCAATTTGAACAATCTTTTAGAGTTCCATACCTCCAAATTAAACTACTAATAAAAACTAACGCACATTGCGTCGTTTTGACGTCATGACGTAATGGATTCAACCATACAGATTTGTAGGGCCTGAATCCCTGTTTATATAATGATATTCAACTACTCGTAGCTAATTAAGGAAATAATTTTTAGTTCTTAAACCAATTTTAACAATCTTTTAGAGGTCCATGTCATCAAATAAAACTGTCAAGACCAACGCACATTGCGTCGTTTATTGATGTTCACCTTCACTTAAGTTCCAAATGTGGCAAGTATGAAATTCGGGGTGCAGCAGTTACAACTATGGAATTATAAAAATTTGCCATTAATTATGCAAATTAGGTCCTCATTTACATAATCTATATCCTCAGATGTTTTTCTCGTTCTCAAGTAGATGTCACAAGTGTTTCATAGTTCTATTATCGAACAAAGCAGATTTATAGAATTTCCTCATTAATCATACAAATTAGCCCCTAATTTGCATAATTGCCATTTGATTATGTCAAGCATCACTTTAACTACCTACATACCAAAAATCAAGACAATACGTCAACCGGTTCTTGAGTTATCGTCCTTCAATTTTTTTTTCAACAAATGCTCCTGCAATTCCAGAACAAGGCGCTAGGAGATCCAAACTCATGTCACCTCGTCCCTACCCTAAGAGCTATCTACCAACAAAAATTCGTGACCCTAGCATGTCCAGAACATGAGATATCAAAACCAGAAGTTCAGCTGCAGTACCTAGGAAAGCCACCAGGGGGCCCAAAATCTAATCATTTCTAGGTCTCATGGAGACCTACCCACCTACCAAGTTTCATTCCAATCCATCCACTGCTTCTCGAGTTATCTTGCTAAACCACACACAAACATACACACACACATACACACATACAAACGCTACTGAAAACATAACCTTCTTGGCGAAGGTAAATATGACTAGTAAATGGCTATCTTTGGTCCTGTAGAACAGAATAGGTGATATGAGCCACTATTTGCTCACACCACTACATTTGACCAATCACAATCGTTGATGAAATTGACGTTTGCGCCAATCTATTCCACCACACCCAGTTCTTCTATATAGTTGGAGAGTGGACAGTGGACTTACACATCCGACTTCGCCTTGACAACAACATTATCTGAAATACCACAAGTGTCCATAGGCGACAATTCTTCGTGAAGTTTTATATTTTGTAAATACATGGTGCGCACATTTGCCCTGTTGGGCTAATGTCCAAGGAGATCCCTTTCTGTGGCCGGCGACCTTCTCTGGCTAATGGATACTGCCTGACCAATTTGATATTGTCTTTTTGCCATTGAAAGGGATCTGCTTGGCGATTAGCCCAACAGGGCAGATGTGCGCACGTTAAGCCCGCGACACACACAACCATGTACATGTATTTGCAAAATCTAAAACATGAAGAAGAACGAAGAATTGTTGCCTACGGACACTTGTGGTATTTTAGATAATACTTTTACATCAATGATCATA